GAAACCAAGACAGCCAATTCACTGCCACCAGCCTTAGAACAAATATGACGTCACTTGCACAGGTAACCAGCGCCTTATGTGAGTAATAGTAACGTAACATTAAGCTAGAAGTTTTAAAACAGTTGTCAAAACAATGAACGGAAATTAAAGTTTTATTTTCTTCACCCTTATCACTGTCTGTTCACCTGTCTCCGTAGTTCTTAAATGGTTTTGGAGTGATTTGGAGCGGTTTGGAGCGTTTTGAGGGAGTTTTTGTTTTTCGATGTATATCTATATATATAATAGGACAAGGTTGGAATCAAGCCTGAACGAACAGGCTGACAATACGATCGATTTTTCTCCTACAAAAACCTCTCGGAACTCATTTTAATCTACCGTACACAACAAGACGATTCCTATCCCACCTTTTTTAGCCAGTCATTACACAGTTACATCGATTCTTTAGCCGTAAAGAACCACGAAAAAAGTCCATTCACAATGACTTCGTCGCCCATTTATGCGTGGCCACAACAAATCGTCCACGCTATGCGCGGGAAGGCCTGGGAAAGAGACCCCACCGGGTAGTAGACGGGAATTTTAGCACGCGAACAAACGAGTGCTCACCCCACTCCTGATTGGGTGAATTTCACTTTGCTCACACGATCCGGAACCGGGAAAACAAACATGTTGTCCACTTTGAAAAGAAAAGTAGTAAATGTTGATGCTGCCGGGTGGACCTGAGCACTCGTTTGTTGCCGCGTGCTAAAATTCCCGTCTACTACCCGGTGGGGTCTCTTTCCCAGACCCTTCCCGCGCATAGCGTGGACGATTTTGTTGTGCCACGCATAAATGGCGACGAAGTCATTGTGAATGGACTTTTCTCGTGGTTCTTTACGGCTAAAGAATCGATGTGTAACTGTGTAATGACTGGCAAAAAAGGTGGGATAGGAATCTCTTGTTGTGTACGGTAGATTAAAATGAGTTCCGAGAGGTTTTTGTAGGAGAAAATCGATCGTATTGTCAGCCTGTTCGTTCGGCTTGATTCCAACCTTGTCCTATTATATATATAGATATACATCGAAAAACAAAAACTCCCTCAAAACCGCCTCCAAATAACTCCAAAATCATTTCAACTACAAAGACAGTGAACAAACAGTGATAAGGGTGAAGTAAATAAAAACTTTAATTTCCATTCATTGTTTTGACAACTGTTTTTAAAACTTCTAGCTATTTTAATACTCATATAGAGCGCTTGGGTTACCTGTGGTCACTGAACGCGCTAGCTCGACAATTTTTGTTCAAGACGGTTGACAGTTAAATTTGAAAAGATGGCTAAAATTATTAAGTAAAAAACCTTGGCCCTTCTAAATCAAACAAAAGTTAATTCTACTAAATAATGCACGAAGTTTGGAACGAAATATTTAATGGGAAATTCCTGTAAATGTACAACTAATGCGACTGAAAGAGCACTAAAGGCAGCCTGAAATTAGTTTACGGGAAGATCAGATCCGAAAACCGCGGACATATAATTAATTCGTCCAAAGAATGAAAGCCTGTTTACAACACAAGTTTAAGCTTAGTCTATTCAGTATTGTTACCTTGTATTTCGAAGAGGCTTGTCAATTCCAGCTGAATTAAGTTTTTACAATCAGCACAATAAATATCCACGGCAGTTCGTCAAGCGTTCGTGACGGTCAGATCACTTCACAGTGAAATTCTCTTCGAAGACCACTCTCTTTCTTTCCATCCATGTAGATATTGAGGGTTTCCTTTGTTCTTTTACTTCAATGAACTTGATTTTAAGCTCAGTTCGTTTCAACACAATTTAGTTTAAGCTTATTAAATTCTGTAGTCGCGCAAGTTTTGCCCGCCGTATAATGTAAACAAGTGAAACCTTCGGCTGCGTATAGCTGTCCGTTCAACTTGTAAAATGAATATAATGTTCAGCTCCACAATTATTTCGAATCTTCCCATGTTAAGCTAAACCATCGGCACAATTTTCCAGAATATACGAAACTTTGGAGAGATTGAGCGAAGATTTTAAATCCGCGGAGAACACTTTTCATTCAACTTGCCAACTGGACAGCGCGCCAGTCCGCCAGAAGTTTTGCCGCCGAATTCATACAAATCATGCTTCATGCTTAGATGAACTGAAAAATCACTCAGTCGATTTATAGTTTTACAAAAAGTATACCGAAGTTTGACCTAAATTTAGTGAAGTATTTAAACAATTATTACATTCTGCTGTGACGCTTTTCGCTTTTCCTTGGCCAAAGTTTCTGTCTTTGCGTAGCGCTCGACGCATATCATTTTAAAGATGGTTCAACTTCAACGTGATTGGCTGCTGGTTTCGCGCGAAAAATGTCTAAAAATAGCCTAACTCCGAATCTGATGGGCCAAGGCCCAATACCAGAGATGGAAACCTCTAGTTATAGACCTCTGTTTATATGCATTGATCAGTTAACAATCAATAATGTGCGTCCTTTTAGATTCTTTTCTTTCAGGTTTTCTTGTTTTCGTCTTTCAGATGAAATTTGTGTTGGTGGCTGAAAATCACTTTAATGTACAATTGTTTTGTACACATCCAAGTGTTTTGCACAATTTTCCGCAAGTACCGACTGAAATGGATCAAAGCATTGCCGGTGATTAGTGATTTAGCAATAAATTATATTTCTTGTAACATTACCTTGTTTTAACCTGGATGAGTCACTGCACCGTTCCTTTAAATAATGCATCATTATGTATATAAATCCAGGACTTATCGAAGTTACTTTATGTTATTTAAAAACAAAATAAGCCAACAGAAGCATTTTTCAGGCGACAAATGAAAATCCTTTCTACTGATCTGTCTGCCTATTGACCTCCAGAAATGTAGGCAGTGACAGAAGCTACGTACTCCGGAAAAAATGTCCGAAAAAAATGTCCGAGTTCTCCCCAATAGGAGTCGAACATATGACCTTCTGGTCGGAGTTACAGGAGACTCGTGGAAGCTTAGGCCATATAACTAGGTTCAAATGTGACAAACTTTCCTGCATACTGCTATGAATCTCCTGTAGCTAAGTGGTAGAGCGTCCGCCCAGTGTGCGGAAGTCATAGGTTAAGTTAGACTCCCCTTGGGAGAAATCGCGCGTCATGAAGATTCATGGGATGGGGCAGAGTTCCTCCTTGGGGCCAGTGTGGCTTTCTGACCACGTGACTTTCGGCTCGTCTTCGTGCTCTCAACCTGGGGGGAGGGGAGGTGAGAACTTGGCCTTTGCTGCGATTGTGTTTTATGCAATGTCAACTTGGTTATAAGCTTTATTGCATGGGAGTTAGTGGCTGTATCGACGGCCTAAGGACCCATTCAACATATGATTTGTATAAGGGTGCCAGCTGCCGGCACTGTTTGTGGGCCTCTTCGGGGAATGTTTCAGGTTGCAGGTGCGAGGGGAGGGTGGGGAAGAGAGAATGCTTGACTGTAGTTGCAGCCAGTTCAGCATGACTGAATGCGTTTTTATTTTTCAGCGTGGTTTACAAGCCTACGACTACAGCGGCACTGAAATAACAGAGGCGGGGAGACGAGATGACACACGTACAGTGAGATTGACAAGGTAACAGTCAGTCAGTGTTGTTTTGATGAGGAGGAGTGTTAGTATTTTATGCCAGACAATATCAGCAAATGTCCTTTTGTGCGTTGATACATTTCGATGCTTTTATTTTGTGACTTGTTGACAATTAGTTGAATAATAAAACAATAATCTCACGCGATGTACGAAATATCGAAATTTCAGCCAACTTGGCCTACGGCCTCTTCGGCGATATTCCGCGCGATTCAAAGGAAAATATTGTTGAATATTTTTACCGTAGGAACTAGTTTAAACAGGTTAATTGTAGTCCACCTAGTCCTCCTGATCTCGCGCAACCCAAAACACGTTCTGGTTTTCTGGTTTTCGGGAAAGAAAAGCGTTGAATAATAAATCTCTTGTAAGACATTTTAGTGCCGGTTGTACGCCGAATAGGGTCGCCAAAATACAGCAAGACCCATAAAATATAACGATACGACACACTAAATTGTCTAATAAGAGTTATAAACTTGTAAAGTAATATGTAATATACCAGTTTCAGCGACCTTGGCATCTTAAGCAATATGATTGGTCCGCTATCTCGGGATATTCAACACTACAATAGAACCCCGCTAGACTCGAATTCGGTTAACTCGGACTCCCCGCTATCTCGAACTCAAACCCATTCCCCCTTGTTTTTTCAGTCATTTACTATCGGCTAACTCGAACCCCCGCTATCTCGAACTATTTTTTGTTTCCCTTGGGAGTTCGAGTTAGCGGGTTCTACTGTATTTACCGCTGCGGAAACCTTTTGGCAGAGAGTTTTAGCGAGAAGAAAAATTGAAATGGCCGGTCTAAATTCTCGCTCTACTTGTGTTTCAAAAGTAGAAAACCTGGAAAATTTCAATGGCAATTCTGCACCGGAAAATATACGTTGTCTACAAAGTTTGTTCTAAAACATTCCCAAGGTATTAAAACATAAGCTATTTTTATTCCTAGACTGGTAAAAAGCCAGTGTTCACAAACTGTTATAGTAAATGTTACGTCGTGCTACTCGTGGATTGCAAATTGTGTACATCTTTCCTTTCCAGGAATATGTATTTAATAAAACGAGCATCAAACATATATGGAAGAAGAAGAACAATTAGTGTACCTTTGAGGACTGGAGGGTCAGTTTTAAAGCTGTTCGTAGAAATGTCGGATTCCACGGCAACTAAATTTGGAGTCGAGTTTATTTTTAATCGGACTGCTTTCAAGTGCTCTTTGGTTCCCTGACTGATGTATATTCCCCTCCTGTATCAACTGCATTCTACTCTAAATTCATTTCGTTCAAAACAACTCAAATTGTCGAGCCCTCAATTCCTTTTACAATTCTTTCGACTCATTCACTGTCCTGCACTTGTCCCCTGTCTACACTACTTTTCCTCCTTGATTAAGATCCTTCTTCGACACGCTGTCTACTTCCTTCCCTATAGGTTCTTGTTTTTCATAGTTTTTGATCAGCGCGATTATGCCGGTTTAGCAGTTATCTGTTAGGATTATAACATATGCGTCTCGCCCAACATAGATTATCTATAAGACATGGCTACCACGTATCTCCCATGAATGCTTGATCAAAAAACTGAAGACTGTCCGCTCGCTCTTTTCCGTTGTTTCGGCCCGATTTTTTTAACAAACGTAGTATATTCACACCTAGGATTCACGTTTTTTCTTTGTGTTGTGTGGGGCCTAGACTGGGAGATATTCGCCTTGTGGTGGTAACGAATTTAATACTAAATCCATCACATTATTCTCCTAATTGCTCAATCTCGAACAGCTATGAATAGTGGCTTCCATAACTGATATTTCGAATGCTCGCTGCGAAATACAGTTCTTGCGGACGCTTCATTCTGATCTGTCATTCTACAACTGGATTTCGTGGATGTAAGAATAGTTACATCAGCCGGTTGTTAAGGGATCATTGAATGAGTTTCAATTATTATTAGACCTCGAAATTGAATAACGAATACTTGTCTCAGAAAAATGGATAATGAATATCGCTCGTACCCCGAGCAGAGGTGGAAGAATATTGATCTCATATTCCGTCGGATGAGATCAGCTTTGGAAATAATAATTTAGTTTTACTGTGATCGTAGCTGTGTTATATCTCACTAATATTGGGGAGCTCTGGGGTGCTTTTTGTCTCTTTTTATGAACTGGTAGTTATACCCATGCTACTATTTGAGGTACCCTCCCTGCGCTATGGCCAAAACAAGTATTGCCTCGATGGGTCATACTCAAGCTAAATTAGTAGTTGTCTATGCTGCAGTAGTGCCCAATAAAGGGGTGTCATTAGTTTCATGTACCATGTAGGTCCGGTTGTGCTAGGCTTTGAATGCGGTAGACAACATGATTGTAAAGTGTGATTGCTGTAGTCCTAGTAGGAGTGATGGGTAGTAACTTATGCGAGTCTGTTGTCGCGCTGTGAGTTCTGGACACTGAAGTGCGCTAGTCGCGGCTTTGAAAACCCTGTTCTCTATTCACTATTATAGGGTGAACTGTTCTAAAGCTGGCGGTTACAAAACGTTGTAATCAGTCCACGACTACAGTTGGCGGAACTTTCATCATTGACACCATATTTAACAAAACAAGTTTTCGCTAGGATATATGATTCAAGCATCAAGGACTGTACATGACTTTCCTTTTATTTATAGTTATTTTCCTCCACATACTAGCAACGCGATTTGTTTAACGTGTTCAAAACGAACTGGTTTAAACGTTTCAAAATAACTCTTCTAATTCTTATTGGTTTCGTTTTTGTTGTTAAACCCGTAACTAAGTCTCTGACCACGGGGTGTTGCAGAGAATGTCGAGTAACGTTTTCCATTGGCAAAATGTATGTAAAAATGTATTGTGTTATCATTTCATGTTTTATAGAACAAAAGAATATTAAAACGGTCCAGTACTTGGGGATTCTTTGTAATAGAAGGCTAATTGCTTTTATCACGACGTAGTTATTTGTGCTGTTTGTCTTGAGAGAGAACCTGAGTGACGGTCTTTGGTTTCTAGTAGATAATGTTTTTTGTTTAATGTCGCTATCTCACACTATCCGCTCGTTGCCACACTCCAGTGTGCTTCTGTAGATTATTATACTTGCTATAATCCTTTTATATACGTGCTGAGGTGGAGGATTATGATGTTAACTGTTTATACATGTATTGTTCTTATCAAAAATCTCGCGATGATCCTTCGTAAATCCATTCAGTTTGTCTGTATCCAGGAAATTTTCATGGGCTAATGCAAAGACACACCGCCAAAACAAGAAATGTGGACATTTATCTTTTTAGTTTCAAGTTTCATAAAAAATGCCACTTTTTTACAGGCCGAGAACTGTGTCGTCATGACTTTGTATAGCCAATATTAGTTTTGTCGTAGGTGTCGGATTAAATGTTTTGCTCTTCGAGCCACGTTATAGTTGAACCTGTCATGGAAACGCAGGACTGAGGACTAGGAAAATAATGAAATGAAAGTCCGATGAGATCGATCTACTGTATTCAAATACTATATTTTTTAAAAGAGAGGTTCCTGAAAAACAGATCATGATTCACTACTGGCACTTATTTATATTTCATCTTTAGAAAACCAATGTGTGGAGGTCGTCAAATGTTTCTATTATATTATACTTTTTTAAAGCTTATAGCTAATATGCCCAAGTTAACCTCCATTTCGCCAATAAATTTGGACATTTACCGTTTTGGTTTCACATTTCCGTCAAATCAATTTTAAGCAGGCCAAGAAATATGCGTCAAGACGTACATAGCCATTATTTGTTCTGCGTTTGGCCGTCGTTGGCTAAAGTTCAGTTTGCCTCTTAGAGCCACGTTATAGTTGCGACACGTAAGGGAAAACAATATTCCAATGGAACCCCGTCCTTACGGCCACCCCGTTATTACGGCCACCTTTTTTGGCCCGGCGAAACATGCACTTAATCTCTTGTATTAAAACCCCTTTAATACGGCCACATCGTGATACGGCCAACGGCCAGATTTTTGCGATCCCTGTGCGCCTATTTTTATACATAATCGGAACCTTTTTGGTGACGCTTCGGCGGCATTATCAGGCGAGTTTGGTCTCGCCATGGTTTGTATTTTGGCGAGATGTATGCTACAA